TGAAGGGGGTGTTCAAACATAACAAAATCACAAATACTGAAGCCGCGCCGCCATGCAAAATAGCCCCACGAACAGGACCAGCCACGGTCATGAGTTAGCTCGTCTTTCTCCTAAGCTACGACCGCCACGGTCGTGAGTCCCAAATAAGTCCTACGCACTTTGAGTCTTGATCCACCCTCGCGTCGTTGCTGGTTGCAGGTGCGACGCTTGCAGTCGCACCCCCGCTGTGGTTGGGGTCTCGACCAATCAGTTCTCGTCGTTCAAGGTTTACCTCTCGTCGCTGGGTTTCAGGGTAACCTTGTGTACTCAGGTTGGGTTTCGCGAGCGGCCAAGAATCAAAGACTTTGAGTCTTGATCGTTCTTGGACCACGCGCTTTAAAGGGTCTTCATTGGTCGGATTTCTAATGCGCCAATGTCACTACTCATTCGTGCGTTTGCAGATCGGACGTAGGATCGCGGTAGAAGACCCAGTTTTTTTGGGTTTGCGATATAAGATCGGCCCTCAGGTTTAGGTAGCCCGGGCTGGCCTTGATTTGGAGGTTGAGAGTTCCTCTAACCTCATGTACCAAAGGTAGGAAACCCTTCACACTGGAGGCAAATTTGCCCTAGGGTTGCATGCAGTTGGAGCTGCCAAAATTTCACATGGCACTCCTGGGAATGGGGTTTCGCTATTTGTGGAATATGGGAATACTGTACATTGAAGTTTGCCTCCGCGAACCTTTTTCGAACCCGACCTTGGGGGTCATGAACCCCACCCTAAATGTGGTGGAAACTGTGGAAAGGGCAGGAGGGATTGATTGGCTGCTTGGTCACATATGGAAATTGGGCTTGACTTCATTGCGTTGTGCGACGCGGACGTGCATCCTTGTGTGTGGTGGATGGGTGCACTGCACTCAACTGCACAGTCTCTTGCCCGTCTAGAAGGGCAGACATTCGACACTTGCAATGCCACAGGGTCTGGCAGAGTTGTGTACACAGAACAGAAAGGCGGTTCTCTTGAGGTTACACCACGTAGTGTACAGTATTTCCCAATGTCTGTCCATTCAAACCCATTCAGGCTTAGGGCGTGTGGCAAGTAGAATTCCGATCGTTTTCCCGCTCCGCTCCTCCCGTCGTTCCGCTCCCGAACTCCCGAAGCATGGAACGGGAGCTCCGTTCGTTTTGATGCTACAGTTGTCACTTGCCACATGGACAGTAGTGTACTCGCTGCCCGGAACGAAAATTATGACCCCAAGAAAAACTGCATTTGGCAAACTGCAAAATTGTGTTCATCGCAAATTTCGCGAACCCAGCAACCATCGCCACAGCATAAACCACAGTTTGGTTTGGGGTGTCCGGGAGTTAGCATAATAGGTTTCCTGTGTTTGGTTGTGTTGTGTGTTGCCTAACATTTTGCAATGTCGCTTGCTCATGGGATACTTCTTCGCCAGCTCGTATTGGGCAGCCAGTCAGGTTCTTTTTATGTGACTAGGCTGTTCGTATTTGACCCGAATTTTTGCTCCTCTCCCATGCTTTGCTTCTACAGTGGACCCTTGGCGCACGGACAGTTTCTGCGAAGTGCGTGCGAACCCTACTGTGCGACGGGTTTCCACCTCCTCCGCTCCTGTCCCATCCCTCCAATCGTTTTGAAACTACTTGCCACACGCCCTTACAGTATTAATTTTCGATCTGCATCGACGCTACCGCAGCTGACTGGGGAATGGGCAAGCCCAGCGAAAGAATCTCATCAAGACCATCGAGTCTGTTTTGCTTCAAGAAAAGGAAGAGCAGTCGTGCGCACGACGACCCGCGCGAGTCGCGTGGCGACGACCTGACCATAGCTTCAGTTTGGGGCCTTTATGAATAAAGTGAGGCATCTTTATGAACCAGCGACAAATGATCCCAAATCCGCCGGGATTTCTCCAACTCGGCATCTATCGGGTCAGGTTCAGTTCCTCGTTGCAGCATTGGGTGCAAAACGGGCCGGACCTGTCCAATGGTTGGATGGGGCCTTTGATCGGACGGCATCTTTCTTCAGCTGCGACTTCCCGATTTGGACATGTCGCACAGAGGGGCAATACAGTACGGTGCTCGGTGTTTCGAAACGTTACAGAGCGCTCACTTCAGATGTCAAGGGGAAGTCCGACCTGCCTGGGGTGGTGAATTCCCAAGGTTCCAAGGGGCCGAAAATTACTCTCCCAACCACAATGAATTCCGGCTAAAATTTCCAAAACAAACCGAACCGTGTTCAACCCTGTAAATCAGCGACCCTGCGGTAACCAACCAAACCTCACCTTCCCCCCCATCACTTCATTGGGGTGACACGGGTACTAATATCATTCACCTCTGCATTCCTCAAGCCCGCCATTTATTCAATCGGATCTTCTCTCGCGTAGCACTAAGCACTCGTTAGCGCACCAGGCGTCTAGAGACTAAAAGTGCTGCCGTCACTGTATCATGAGTTCCCGTCATCATGACCCCGGCGATGAGCCCGGAAATCGCGGCCTGATATTTTGCAGATTCCATTCGCAGAAGGAAGCAAAACATTCGGAGGTGGGAAGGTGAGCACAGAACGCTTCGACATTACTCGCGTGCTCTCCCTTTGTCGCCGTGCTCCAATGCAACGCAGTGTGTCGCGTGCTCCAAGAAAGTTTGTTGTTTTTTTCGCGCATCGTATGAATTATTAGCTCCGAGACTCGCGCACGCAGTGGCCTTTCCGTCCCCCAAACAGCATTTTCAGAATGACGCCTAAAAAAATATCAAATGCTTCCCTTGCAGACCTCGAGAGGAGATGTCAAGCGATGGACGAGTCCTCGAATGCCAGAATCGACGGCATAGATCTCACCTCCCTCCTCGAAGATCTGGAGATCGACGACGGCGGCGATTGCGCCAGCGGCGGCAGCATCGATCACAGCGTCGTCGCAACGATGTCGCCAATAACAATCTCTTCAGTGGTCGGCAGTGAAGGCGGCGACACTCCGACTCGGAACGGTTCTCAACGACGACGGAGCTTCCCGGTGGAAAGCGACGACCGCGAACGCCCTCGCACTCCCAGAAGCATGATGATAATCTTCATCATCGTCACCATGCAACTCCCCAGCTCGATGACAGGCAGTACCGCCGGGCGACTCGCCACGCGGCTCCAGAATCGCCCACGATCGGGACAGGCGCTTCGTGCATTTTTTCCTCCGGGTCGCTTAACAGTGCTACCGCCGGTGCGGGCGGTGGTAGTCCTCAATCCACTCTAAGTCTACGGTCCTCCTCAAAGCGATTCGGCAAGTTCTGCCATGATGACGCACAGTGGCAGCGACGGGAGTAATTATCTTCTCGCGCAGAACGAAGGGGACTCGTTTGGCTCGACGCGCAGCGACGGGAGAGGCGGCGGGAGTGATTGGATTTACTCTGCCCCAGTACATGGCTCTCCTTCGCTCCTTGGCGCTGCTCCAGCCTCCCCCTTCCGCTGGAGCGCGGTCCCTGCTGCAGCATCGGGTGCTACTAAGTACAAGAATGCTTCTGCTGCGGCGGGTGCCACTGCTGCCATGCGGCCGCTGCGACTGCTGCTGGAGGCTTTCCCAGTGCAGGAAATGGTGCCAGGAGTGGTGTTTTCAAGCCCACAGCACATGCCTCACGCCGAAGCAGGCACAGCTTTGGACGTACATCATGGAGCATCCCCAGATCCAACAACGGCGATGCTTCCCAGCCACTTTGCTGCTGCTGCTTCAGCTGCAGCGGGTGTTTCTGGGATGGCCCGGCACGTCAGGAGCAACACGGGCAGCCCGAAAACAATTTCCATGTACGTCATCAAGGCGGGCAGACGGTGCCGTATCGCATCGGGTCAGCAAGGGAAGAATGGGTCGGAGACGATGAGAGGGATTAAGGGCGCAGGGGAAGGCCCACCAGATCAGACACTCAGAGGGTTGGTGAAGGATGTGAGAGGAGGGGTGGTGAAGGGCAATATAGGTGGTCCCACATGGTCGGGGAAGCAAGCAGTCGAAGGAGGGAAGTCGCAAGTGAAGGTGAAGGCTGGTGCTAACCCTGCTGCTGTGGAGGCATATTTGAAGCTAAAAGCGCAGCAAGCAGGAAGGGAAATAAGAGAAGCATTGCTGAGTTAGTGACGCTGTGCATTCAAGATGTTTGGTAAAAGTGCACAGTAAACTTTCTCATTATCTTAAGTACCAACAATTATATTCTACATCCAGATAACTTGAATAAAACACTACTAAGTTGGGGTCCATGCTTTTTACATTGCTGAAGCCATTTTGTAGCGTATTGCAAGTGAGATTAGAGTGATTTTTAGGTGTAGGTGTCCAATGTCCATTTACACACACCACGGATGAATGCGCGCAACGCGGACAAGACCACGGCCCACGGTCCTTCGTGATTTGCTGGTAAGTGAAGCGAATACGCGCGCTCATTGGCTTTCCCCTATTCTCAGGCGCCGAGGGAGCTGGTCATTGGTGCGCTTTTGCGACCCTGATGGTGATGTGTGGGGTGGATCTGAGGCCAGGTGGGTGTTGTGGTGGGGGAGCGAAGGGATTGGCTTGGGCGGTGCTGGTTCAGTGAGGGAGGGGGAACTGGAATCGCCAGGAATTGCGGGTGACTCTGACTGATAGTGAGTAGGGGGCAGTGGCAGACAGCACCCTGGGGAGTGAGCAAGTAGTGATTGAGTGAGGGATTGAGTGAATGAGTGTGGGCACTGGGTTGGCAAATGTTGCCCCTGGATCCAGATTTTTATCTCAGGGCGTGCCCGTACGTTTGATTGCGGTTGGGTGAGGTTTCTCACGGGTCAGAAGGATCGATAACAAATCTAAAACGGTTGGATAGGGTTTAGACAAAAACGTAGGCACTCATGATCACTTCCACCTTTCCACACTCTTGGGACACGCCCTTAGAGAGTGAATGCCAGCATGGGTGTGCGCATCACCCAATCCAGCCCAACCATGGCGGGGGACGGCATTTTCCCTTGTCCTCCCTCTAGACGAATCCACTTTGACGTACAGTAACGTCCGCGTCGGGCTGTGGTTATTAGTCTGCCGCGTGGCAGCAGCTCGCTCCACGGCTTGGCATTGGTATGTCCACTGGGGAATTGTACCACGCGACGATTGACTAAGCTCGTTCAGTGTACAGAATTCTGCGTAAACATCGTTGTCGCGACCCCGCGACAGGACGGCTTGGCCATGGCTAGCCCCTCCTCCTCCTCCTCATCCAGCCGTCCGATCCGACTCCAATTCTATTTTCAGGCCTGAGCATCGCACCACCAGGCCAAGTGCTCTCTGGTCTAGGTCACATCAAAGGACGAGGCCTCTTCGGTGCAACTTGATGCCTGAGAAAGGGGCACCGGTGTTGGTTATCCATCCAGCCAACAGGTAAAGGCTGAGAAATGAGAAAGAAATGTGCACCATCATCGTTTTCATAAATCAGCCATTTCCTGTCTGCCATCTGCCACTCTGGAACATATCTTCATTCCCAGCGGCTACTAATAACCTGCACCACATCTGCTAGTGCTGTATCATATCTCCCACAGAACCTCCGCCATCCCCCGCCATTTTCGTCTACTACTACTCTCGCGCACCGCAGTAACCGCTCTAAGCGCCGCACTAAACGCCGCAGTTAAGCGCCGCGCTCACGGTGCAGTGATTTGAGAAAACCCTGAGGCTCAGCACACTAAGCGCCGCACTAAGCGCCGCACTAAGCGCCGCACTAAGCGCCGCACTAGCGGCCGCTTGAAGCGCTTCCAGCCGATCATGAGCTCCGCGCTTTCCGCCGATCCCGCAAAGGGGAAAGCGGTAGAGCAGTACTGGAACATTCACGGGTCGCATTCCGCCATGGCGACCCGCGAGCCCGCAACTCGCGGCCTGAGCAAAGGCCACTCACAGAAGGAAGCTCAGGTTCGGGCTTGGGAAGGTGAGCCTTGTCAGCTCTAGCACGCACCGTATTCAGTTTTTCTTCTCTATTATCTTACCCTCTTTTTTTTTTTAGTAGTATTTTTTTTCTCGTTTGGGGCCTTATCTTTCTGTGGCCGGATTCTTGTCTAAGTGTCACGGCTGAATCAAGCATCGTGGAAAGATATTACTAATATCAGCTGTGTAGGATTCGGTCCAGGCTGAATGGGAGAGAGCCTTTTGCCTTCAACCATGGCTTCCCACATTTCTGCTTCCCATTCAGAGCTCAGAGAGGAGGTGTCAGCTGATGGATTCCTCCAACGCCAGAATCGACGGCATCGATCTCACCTCGCTCATCGACGATCTGGAGATCGACGGTGACGAAGACGACGTCAGCGACAGTGATTACGAGTTCGGTACATCGTCGGCAGCGCGTGGGAAGGCCGATCAGTCACGGGACTCCTTTGACTCGGCGCGCAGTGGCCAGAGTGACTCTAGGAACTCCTTACCGGGGATGGTCTATACTGCCGGATATGGCTCACCTTCGCTTCCTCACACCGCTCCAGCCTCGCCGTTTCATAATTGCCGTTCGAGCGGCATTATCGTCCCTTCTGCTTCCTCGGGTTCTAAGGCCTCAACTGCTTCTGCTGCTCCTCGTGCTGCTGCTGCGGCTGCTGCTGCTGGGGCTTCGCCAATGCAGCAGAGATTCACACCAGGAGCGATCTTCAGTAGCCCACAGTACTTGCATCAACCGAACCCTTCACCTGAAGGGCGTCTGTCGTGTCCGGATCGTCCCCGCTTCCCATGGCTTTCATGCCGCGCCATTCCAGCCTCAATTCTCTAAACTCCCCTGCTGCCGCCCCTGCTTCTGCTGCCGCCGATGCAGCTGGGACGGCCCATCACGCCAGGAGCAACACGGGCAGCCCGAAAACAATCTTCAGGTACAGCATGCAGGGCGGACAGACACCGCCAGATGGTGCTATCCCCAAGCAAGGGAAAAACGGGCAGGAGACAAGCAGCACGGAGGGAGAGCAACGAACATCACGGGGGGGTCAGAAGGAGCTGCAGTTGATGAGAACTCCAAGAGGCGTGGAGGTGCCACGTGGGCAGCTGTAGGGCACTCTGCTGCTGCTGAGGGAAGGAAGACGCATGTGAGGGTGAAGGCTGGAGCCAACCCTGCTGCTGTGGAGGCGTATTTGAAGCTCAAGGCAGAGCGAGCAGGAAGAAGATGAGGGTGATGATGCCGAGTAGTGGGTTTGTTTTGTCCAATAAGCTATGATGTTAACATTAATCATCTTGGCCACAGCTTCTAGTTTGTCATGTACTGGTACCATACCACTTACTGACAACCTGGACAGGTGCATTCAGTTTCAACTCGTCGCTGCAAAGAACGTGCATGATAGAACCTCCAATTACTGAGTTCGATATATACAGACACGATAGCATTTACATTACAACTACACAACTTAAAACATGCGACCAGCCCCTATCTTCCTCTTTGGGCCTTCATTTTGAAATACGCCTCAATAGCAGCAGGATTCGCCCCCGCTTTCACCATCACCCTTACTCCATTGGGCTTGCAACTGTCAGCAGCAGCAGCAACAGCAGCTGCTGTTGGTTCTTTATTCTGAGCAGCCTGCCCGGATCTACCTTCCCCAGCTCCACCTGTCGCACCACTGCTGGTGGGACGCAGGGGCGTCGTAGATGCCCCAGATGCACTTATTCCTTCACGTGGCATGGGTGGCATGTGTGATACACGTGGTGACATGTGTGATGCGCGTGGTGACATGTCACCACTGCGCGTGGAGGCCATGGGCCAGCTCCATGACTCTCCTGCGCTGCTCTGCCACAGCAGCACATGGTGCGGAGACGGCTTCAGGTCACAACTCCCAACGCCAGTGCTGCTGCTACCGCCGCTGCTGACGTCATTGCTGCTCCCGCCGAAGCTGCTCCCGCCGAAGCTGCTGCCGCCGAAGCTGCTTCCCCCGAAGCTGCTGCCGTAGCTGCTGCTGAGCTCCAGGCTTCCGCTGCTGCTGTTCAAGCTGTTGGTCGAGCCGAACCCATGCCGCAAGGGGGCGCTGTGAGGGGAGTCTCCAGGGAAACAGTCAGAGTGGCTTTCTTTGACGTTCCCCAGTAGGAGGGGCGAGGATCCTACGCTCTGTGACAGAGGAATCGGAGTTGTTGCCGCGTCAGCGCGCTGTCTGGGGGAGAAAGTGCGACTAAGGCGGGAGGCGGGTTTTGGAGCGGCGGGGAAGTGGGGGGTGCATTCCGCGCCCTCGCCGCGGGTGGGGCTGTTGGCGCTGGGAGGTCGGTGGAGGAGCGTTCGGCGCAAACCACTGTCTGCGCTGTCGGCGGAAGCTGCGCGGCGGAAAGAGGAATTATCTCCAGTTGTGGACGGCGCGGCGATGGTCCTCGCGGCACCGCCACGGTCGTCGACGTCATCGCGCCGCCATTCCGCGTTCGCTGAGTCCGACTCGTCGCTGCTTCTATCCTCGTTACTGCCGCCCTCGCTATCGCTGTCGGCCGGCGCAACGCCTTCTTCCAACATGTTGGTGAGATTAATGCCGTCGATCTGCACGTTATTCGAATCCATCACCAAGCACGAACGCTCCAACTCGTCCCACCCGTGAGATGCGGCGCTTTCGGTTTCCCATCCACTCTCCTCTTCAACCGCTTCCAATGCTGGCCGCAGGCTGCTCATGCTCACCGCGCCGCTCGTTTTCACGACATTTACGCCGCTGGTGAAACGGCTGTTGCCAGAGCTGCTGATTATGACGCCCGCTTGCATGCCGCCGCCGCTCGTGCTGCCGCGGGCTCCTTCCGCGCAGTTGTCCGAGTGATAAGATCTCTCCGCTGCGCCTGTCATGTTTCTTCCGCCGCCCGTATTGCCCCTGCCGAGTCCGCTGGTTATTCCCAGCCCGATCCCTTCGCTGAGCATGTTGAATCGCTGCTCGATGGACGGATCAGATGCCATGATGGTGCAGAGCTTGCTCGCCATGATTGTTTGTAGTTATATGGGAAAACTTGAAAAACAGTAAAGGGAACGGGGAAGGTGGAATGTCAGCTGGTGATGGGAATGGTGCGACGGTGCGATCGACGGTGCGGGCGACTGATGGATGTTGGGCGCGAGGTTACGGAATGGAAAATGCTGTCGTGATGATGGTGTGTGCGCGGCTGAGTAGTTCGAATGGCGGTTGCTGCAGGAGCTCTGTCTGGTGCTGGATTCAAATGGCGGATGCTATGCCCTCCGGTGGTGGTCTTGGTCTAAGGAGCAACAAGCAGCACCAGTACAGTAGCACGCCCTGGCTGTAGATGCTCTTGGCAGTAATCTGAGATCGAAAAATCAAATTATAAGATCGGTGAGGGCTCTCTTGCTCCCAAAATTAATTCGTCCTGCTCTTCTCTCATGACCAAGAAGATGGAACCGCTATCTCGCCGCACCGCATCGCATCACATCTCACGCGCCCCGCACTGGTTTCACGCATTGGAGCCCACAGTGCGGATCGAGGTGCGTCCTGCCTGACCACAGTAGACGTGGCGGGCGAATAGACGACAAGGATCGTCCTAGCTGGAACCCATCGTCGGTTCGGTGGCGATGGTGGTCAATGGCTGCGATTTGCTTCGCGAAAGTGTACAGTAAGCATGCCAACTGCGGAGCAAATTGAACACCAAGTTGGTGTTCCGTTACGATAGCAGCAGGATCCTGGCATATCCACGTAAGATTAAATGCTGCCACATCTGCAGCCACTATGGCGACTCAGCAGCTGAAAGTCGCACGTTATTGGTGAACACTCTATCCAGGCTGGCCCCGACCAGCCCGCCGCGACAAAAAAGCATGCGAGAGCGGACCAGCGGCACACGTCACCCTTCGTCATAAGCAGCTTGGTGAATGCAAAAGGTGTAGGGAACTGAGCGCCACACGATCATCGAGCGATGTGAGAGGGACGTAGGACATGCCACGCTGATTCCAGAAAGTGCTTTTTCTTTTCTTCCAATGGGGGCCAATATGGTCATTGACTATTGGCCCAACTGGTGAAGGGGCTCCCACGGATTGGTTGCAATTTTCCCTGGCGCTATGAAAGAAGATTCCCACATGATCTCAAGCACGCTAGGAGATACACCGGTTGCGCACCATGCACCTTCGGTCTCAACAAATCGCGTGGGCATAATGCGCACACGCATTCCGCAAGCTTTAACCACCGAGAATGGCCCAAACGTAAACCCCGTGTCAGAATTTCTGACTTGCGTAAGAGGTAGTTATAAAAATACCTCCTCTGAGATATGAGAAAGGTGCATTACGTCGTGTCACAACGATGCGCGGTTTTTGTGGAAATTTGAAGGGGGCGTATTCTTTGAAATTTCTTCGCAAGGACATGTGGCCTCCTCTGTGTCGCAGGTGCCACAAATCCCAGGTGAATGGACCATCAGATGAAAGAGCCGTTGCCCGTGATTGGTGGTGAATGGGCGCAGATTCGGGTGTGGGCCGTCAATTTTCCGGGACTCGCTGGACACCTGGTGTAGCTTGCATTCTCTGGCTCCTATCTATGACATAATACAGTCGGACCATAATAATAAAAAGTGGAACCATGAGACCCGTTCCTAACCACCACTACAAGCAGCCTCCCTACGAATCTTCACCTTGTTACATAGTTTACCTAACGTGTAGCTGCTTTCCCCATTACCCTGTGCATACCCTGCCAACTTGCATGGCTAGCAGGTTTCGCTTGGCTTTTCATCGTGGAACAAAGGCGCTACATTGTCGAACAAACATTAGGCATTGTAACTCAACCCATCAGAGGTATTACGATACCACCACCCTAAGTGCCGTCTGATTTACAGACAAGCCAGAAAACCTAGTGCGGACAGCACGGCAGGCACTACAAACGGACAAAGAAACAAACACTGGACAGAGGCATGCATGTGTACCGTGCTCACATATGGGAAAGTTACGGTAAGTGTCTTGTGGAAATTTATGCATTACTTGTAGGGTCCACGGGGCAGGTTTTGGAAATTCATAAGCCGAGGCGGCAGATGGGATTTGATTTGATCAGCTTCAGATCAACCTGGAAGGGTGTAAGGGGGTGAAGGGAGGT